TTTAACAAACTGTCTCCTCCTTCTATTATTCCTTTTGTGTCTGATTTTCAGAAGACTCTAAATGGCATTCTAGATGAGTTTGATAGAGAAAGCATTGGGTCGTCTTTACTGGCTGTTACTAAATCTAGCTAGGATTTCACCAGCGGGATCATCATGGGGCCTGATATTTAGCACATATGTATATTTGCATGTGACCATCCAATTTCTGTTCCAACAGATAAGAAATTCGGGGAGCAGTACACTACTTCCTTTTTTTAAATTAAACTGATTAGAGCAGTACTCTACATTTGGGTGATGTTTTAACAGTTACATGCTTTTACATACATCATCTCAACAACCCAGTGGAAAATGGCAACTGAGGAATTATTATGCCCATTTTACAGATAAAAATACAAGAGGCCCAGTGACTTGCTTAAGGTCTTGCACAGTCAGAAAGTGATGGAGTTTGGGCTTAAAGACATTAGATTCTAAGTCAAAGCCTTCCCACTACTTAGGATTACCTCTGAGATGCCTGCACATGATATTAAAATAACTGTCAATATTTTTTCAGTTCTTACCATGGGCCCGGTACTAAGCTAAGCACTTGATACGTATTCTGTATTGAATCCTTACAGCGAGCCCATGAGGTCTGTGCCATTACCATACCCACTTTACAGATGAAGAAACTGAGATCCAAAGAGGTAAAATGACTTGCCCAAAGTCACCTGGCTAATCAATGGCAGAGCCAGGGTTCCAACCCAATCAAATAGCACTCCAGAAAACAAGGTCTCAACCACTTTGCCATACTGCCACTTCGGCAGGAGTAAGAGATGCCTGTTCTACACAAGATGGCTGGTAAATCTGCCCAGAACCCACCAGTTCAGTAAGGACAGAACTCATATTTAACAACACAAACTACAAAGGATTATCCAATAATTTTTCTTGTTCTGGAGTGTGTTCATACGAAGATTACCTAAAGTAAGCCAGAGCTTAGATGACATCTTACTAAATTCTCTTGGCAATTTTATTGTAACAGTAATTGCAACTCAATTTGACCATTCTGAAAGACATTACTGCTTGCTTAGCCTACAGCTGTTCCTTGCTTCCCACCACAGATACACACATACCCCTCCATTCCTTCCGTAATGGCAAAGCCCAGCTCCCATTGTAGAGAATGAAGACACTAGATGCACACATTCCTAGACTCTTCTGCATCTGGAGCATGAGTGTATGACCCCGGCCTGGCCAGTGGGATCTGATGAGAAGACTCATGGGACCTGTAGAAAAGGTGTTTCTCCATGATAAAAAGAAATGCATGAGGAAATACTATCTTTTATATGGTAGATGTGGCAGTGCCTGACTGACATCCAGAATTACTGCAGCCATCTTATAATCATGATGACATAGTGACATAGTTGACATGGAAGATATCCGAGTAGAAAAACAGAAAGCACCTGGTCGTGCAGAGCTGCTGAACAACTCTGAAGCTGCTCTACCTCTGGACTTCTTGTTAGGCAAGATCATAAGTGTCCTTGTAATTTAAGCCACTTTAGCTTGGCTACTGTCTTACCTGTAGCCAAAAGCATTCTAACTCTCAAGTTTCAAGAGGCAATGCTACAGAGAATAAAGAGCTCTGGATTTTGAGTTCTAATCTATTTAATCGCCAGGTGACCCAAATTGCTTAATCTCCCTGAACTTCATTTTCTATATCTATAAGACCGAGATAACACTCAATAACACAATAACATCAATAAAACAAAGATAAAGCAGGTTATGAATATTACATGAGATAATGTATACACAATCACTGTGTCAACAGCAATGTTTTACTCAAATGTAATTGATCTAGGTAATAATTAAACTGTAGACTTTTTAAAATGAAGCCATCTACCTAACCCAACTCTCTTATTTGACAAAAGAAGAAATATCGACTCCAAAAATCAAATGACTCAATGTCACAAAGCCAGTTAACAATATAACTAAACCACACATCTCCTGATTCTGAATCCATTATTGTCATGCTATCCTCATGCTGATAGGTAATGAGCTAGACTAAATATTGGCTATTCATCATTAAGCGTTTATTGAACACATACTGCATGCCAGGTACTATTCTAGATATTGGGAACTCCTTGATGAACAATAACAACAAAATTTCTTACCCTCATGGATTCAAATACAAACCCAAATTCCAGCCAATTCCAACTATATCGACCATGTTTACCAGGCTTTGCTAAAGAATGAATGTGAAAAGCCTAAATTTTACTCAATGAAAGTTGGTATTAAAATCGTAAGCTCATTAGAAGGAGTTGTGAATAATCATGCTGGTAACTGAGAAAGTGGATAAAATGGGAAAGATGGCTAGGACTCCACTCTACTTGAAGCAGCAAGACTAAACAAAAGAGGTTAGAGGTAAGCCAGGTCCTTCTCTAGTCTCCAGACTTCAAAGATTGGCCCAGTTGGGAGAATTCAGCAACTCCTGCCCTTCCCCAGGCTCCGGTCTGATGCCCTGAACCCTCCTTTGACTGTCCATTTGGAATTCCTCTTTCACACTACCTAAACAGTCACACTCAAATGACATGATGGGACAGCATCCCAAACCCTGTGAAGAGACAGAGCAAGTGACTTTCTGCATCTCCTACTGGAACTGGCTATCAGGATGCTGAGACAGGCCATAAAGTTGTTTGCTTGAAAGTTTTCTTCACCAAAATAATGCCAAAATTATATAATTTGGAAAAAAAAATTGTAAGCTATTTATCAAAAAAAAACACCTGTAACCCACATTTTTGCAGATGTATGTGACTGTTTAACAGTCCATACACTTACTTAACTCTGTGATTCTCTAGAACAGAGGAAACAGGGGAGGGAAGGAGGGAGGGAAGACAGGCAAGAAGGAGGGCAGCAGGTAGGCAGGCAGGCTGGCTGGCTTCTGCAGGGCATATACTAGTGACTACAAAAGGTTCTTAAAAAAAAAATCTCACTCTAAACAAATAGCAAGTTTGTTTGGTTGGTTTTTTGTGTTTTGTTTTGTGACCTTACACTCAGAAGTACAATTTCAGTTCCTGGGTTTGGAATTCTCTAGAAAGGTACAAGGTCTAAGATTATCAAAAGAAAATCTTTTAATTCATTCTAATTGGTTAAATGATAATCACCATTTAGGGACAGAAAGAGCAGAAAAAGATATGCCACAAAATGAAACAATGGATTTTTTATTTTTTAAGCAGTGCCTAAATCAACATTTTGGAACACAGCTTTTTAACCTCTGGCATCAGCTGGGCTGTACAAAGTAACTTTCCAAACTGTTATTAGATTGGCTACAATTTATTGTTTCCCAGAACACCAGTCAACAAATACATTTCCTTTGAGGACAACTTATCTATTCTAAGGAAGACAGTCAGGAACCAGGGAAAAACCAGTAGTGTCAACTTCAAGTGGGACAGAACAGGGCAGACAGAGAGCTAAGAATGCAAAGAACTCAGCAGCTCCACTCCCTGCTGCTGGCCCCTCCATTATCTATATATTCAATTTAAAGGACTTGTGCATCCACTTTAGGACGTAAAGCCAAAGTGCGCAACTCTCTCTGGATCACAAGACAGTACATATCAAACGTTTCCGTGCAACTCTGGCAGCAGAAAAACTGCCTATCCTGCTAATCCTTTTATTAGTAAGTTTAGCAGCAGTACTTAGCTCAGAATGAAATTCAGTGAGAACCTACTTTCCATGGGGCACCACATTGTTGCCTTGAAACTTGTCCGGTTGTCAACTTACAGATTAGTTGCCACCTTCCGGGTGTCACAAGCTCCCACCAGGAAAAAAATAGGGGAAATGGGGAAGAACTTTTATTCATTCATTCGTTCTTGGTTAACACAGCCCAGAAATGGATTCCTGCAGCTGGGAGTCGCTGACCGCATTCCCCTCTCACCAGAAGGGTGTAGGGTGCCATATCTCCTGAAGCTCAGTCCTGGAGCTTCATTCAAGACTGGGGTAGCTGAGAAGAGGAAATCTCAGAGATAATTAAATAGATTTGAAAGAAGCCAATAGTACCAAGCCCTGATACGACCTTTCCATATCGTGTATGCCAAGTGGGTCATGGGAGAGAACACACGCCTGACTACATATACACCCACCAAAAGTATGCACGCGCGCGCGCGCACACACACACACACACATCCTTGCAGCTCATACTAGCCCTCCTGCAAGTCCAAAGGCACTTAACTACCAGAGGATGGGGCTACCAGGAAACCTGTCTTTGCCCAAACAACTCTCACCTTCCCCAACCTGGGCAAGAGCCAATGTCTACCAAACTTCCAAGGGGCGCCTTTCCCCCAGGACCCAGGTCCTGCAGGGCTCCCTGAGCCCTGAGCTCAGTTCAGCTCTGCCGGCCTCAGAGCCCTTTTCTTTTCTCTGAAACACTAAGATTTCACACGATTCTTTTCATGATAGCTCCAGTTCCCTGCAGCGCACACCCCATCCCTCAAGGCTGGAGCCTGGGGCTGCCTGGCCTCTCTCCCTCCTGGGAAACTTCGACGACTGCCCTCGAGGAGCAGTAAAGGCCAAGGGCAGGGGGCCGGCAGGGAGCGGGTCCCTGGGTCTGATCGTACGTTTGGAGCCTGGGCGCCAGAAAGAAAAATGAGTGAACCGGGGCTAGTGCATGCCTTCTCCACGTGGAGGAAGGGTGGAAAGACTGGGAAACCTGCAGGTGCCCCTCTCGGTTCTTGGAGCTCCCATTTCCTGACAGGATAAGGGACAGAGGGGTTAGAGTGCCCCAAGATGCAGCTGCCAGGTACCTCAGCCTGGGCGCAAGGAGACATGAGCGTAGCATGCATGCCAGAAGGGGCCCGGGCACCTACCGTGGACAGTGCCCCCATCCCCGGGTAAGACTTCCAGCCTCAGAAGGCGGAAGAAGCGAAATCTGGCTTTCTAGCAGGTTCCTCGCCTCTGACGGCTCACGCCCACCCACAGAGGCCCCCAGCCCTGCGTCCCGCACATTCCCCACTTCCCTCGCCCTGTGCAGCCCGCACCTGAATGTGGCAGGAGATCTCCGAGTCGTCCAGCAGCCGGATGGTGCATTTCATCTCTTGGCTGAGCGATTTGATGCTGGAGCTCCGAAAGTGGATCATTTTCATAGTCCTCCTGCCTCTCGGCACACAGCGGCAGAAGGCGAACATGCACCGCGGCCCCGGGGAGCGAACGCGAGGCTTGGGGCCGGCGCGGAGCTCGCCCGCGTGGACACACACACTCGTGCACTCGCCGTCCCAGACACCCGGACACGACTCAGCCCCGGGACAGCAGCAGCGGGCGCTTGCGGCCACACATGCCCCGCAACCGAAGCGCGGAGGGCGGGTCCCTCCTCCTCCCCCTCCCCCTCCGCTCCAGAGCCTCCGCCTCGCGGGCTCCTTTCTCCGCCTCCGCCAGTAGCGCGCGCTCCTGCACCTCCCTCCGCCTGGGCTCACTTGCGGAGGGTGCCCAGAGCCCGTGACCTCGGCGGGTGCACGAGGCGCTTACTCCCACGCGCGCAGAACCGCAGGAGGAGAGGGCAGAGGAAAGGCTGATACTCGTGGCTGAGGTACCCCGACAGTGGCCTGCTCTGTCGCCACCACCGCCCGCCACTGCGTCAGGCTGGGCCCGGCTGCCTCCTCCCGCTCCAGCCGTGATCACTTGCGCTCCTGGTAGCACTCGTCCCTGCCCTGGCTCCCCCACGCGCCCAACAGCGCCCGGCTATGCTCGGCCTCGGACCTGGCTGCCTGCCCGCCAAGGGATGGAGGGCGATCCTGACCTACACCCGCAGGGAGGATTCCACCACGGGAGAGGATTGATGGACCAAAGGCGAACCGACCCCCTCCCTCCCTGCCGCCCCCCGAGAGTGGCATGAAGCGCCTGCACAGCTATCACCAGGAATACGGCTAATACTTACTATCTCTGGTACTCGTGGAGATATTTTTAAGCCTTTTTTAATATTAACTGGAGACGATCTCCCCTAAGAAATTCAAAACCTTCCTTAAGCAATTTCTCTTTGGTGTCTCCCAGCATCTCAGTATGATCTTTAGTAGCAATATCTTAAACCTAAGCAAGGTGATCCCTATGCTGCCCCTATTCCTTTAGGGGCCTTCCGCCCGCTCCATAGTCGCCCAGAAATAGACACCATCTCTGGGTACTGGGGATCCTGGAATTCCCCGCCCACCTCCAGGGCTTTAGAGCCAGGAGATCTCCTGTGCCCGCCTTCCCCAGTGGCCCAGGCCCCGTATGGTATGCCCACAGGCCCAAAGGGTGACGGTGGAGGCAGGTGGATAGAGGTTAGATGTGGAGACTCGAAGTGGGAAGAGAAAGAGGGCCTCTCATCCTGCTTTCCTTTCCTCAGATGAACAGATCGTCATTAAGAAGTGTTTGTTAGAGAAAGAACTTGTTGCTCAGCTGTCAGCTCTTGCTGCAGCTACACAACACTGCTTCATCCAAAGGCTGGCTCTGCCCTGGAGCTGGGGAAGGGGTTTCCCATGCATTCCACCTAATTTTGGTATGTTCTGATGGGCCATGCATGCTCTACGACACCCCCACCCCCCGTGGTGTTAGCTGAGGCTTGGGGGTGCTGCACTGCAATTGGACTCCTCTCTGCCTGCTCTGGCTTCCTCCCTTGTTAATCGCTAATACCTTGAAGGCCAAACAGTCTCAGTATCTGCTTCTGGAGACTACAAATTGTGACAATTTGTCGAAACAGAAAGATAGAGTATACTTTATTTAACAGTTCATTCTTGCTTTTAAATATTTAGGTAATAGTACATGGGCCTCTGTGTGTACTTTTGCACTGAGCCAGCAAATGTTATGGCAGGGCCTAAAAGAGAGATCAGTATGGAGGGTCTGGGAAGATGTGGATTTGATTCTTGGCCTACCTACTAGCCAACCAACCCTGGGGATCCTGGGAAAGTCTCTTTCTTTTCTCATCTTCAAAGGCGAGCACATCTGTGTCTGTTCTACCCATTTCACAGGTAGCTGAGAAGCTGGGATGAGACAAGACCAGGGGAGGACAGATTACAGCCTGTAACCTGTAAATCCCCATATGCACAGATAAGGTGGCGGTAATGGGACTGTCCCACTCCAGTTTGAAAACTGCAACTGAAGTTGAATCACCTCCTACAACCCAAGAGAGCAGATCTAAGAGCCCAGAGATCAAAGAAAAGTCCCCACCCAACACAGTCCAAGCTTTCCTTTCAAGGCTACCTATTTGTCCATCCTTATTATAGTGATCTTTTGGTTCCAAAAGAGTCATGCTCAATACCCCAAAATTGTTATCTGAAATTTCAAGCAGAATGGGACTACCAAGAACGGTAGGAAAAAGATAGAACAAAGATCATCCAAAGTGGGATTGCAAGCAACAGCATTTTGAGGAAATGAGAAGAACCTGGGATTGGTTATCTGCCCTGGTTTGGAATGAAAACTGAGCTTCATCTAGTATAAAGATATGGGTTCGGGAAGACCTTGACATACATGAATAAACAGCTAGGTAAATTATCACATATGGTAATCTGGTTGGAAGTACCCATTGCAGACAAGGCTTTGGTACACCAAATGGCCACAGTCAAAAAAAGAAAAGAAAATCATGAAGAACAAGAGGAATTCAAAGAATGAACTAATGAACTCAAGAAATGAATTTAAAATTGGACCACTAACCGAAAAATCAATAACACATTCAGAGTCCTAAATTCTCAGCTCAAGACTTAAAAATCTATATTTTTTCTATATTAGAGCTGAAAGAATTTTTTATTAACCAAACTGCAAGGCTGAAAACCATACTCAAAATATTGTCAACAGGTTGCCAAATTACAAAGTCAATGGAATTATCGGCCTCACCAGATTTCATGTGTGAGAGTTATCATCAGGAAAGAGTAGAAATCGGAATAGAAATGTGTCCATAAAGTAAGATTTGGATAATTTCTAGTAACTTAAGGCCCCAAACTCCCAAGACCCTCTTGGCAGTAGAAGCAAAGCCTCTTCCTTCAATATAATGAGGCTGTTTCTGCCCTGTTTGAAGACCCTATTCTGACCTCACCTGAAGCAGTTACCTGGGAAAGGAAGCCCATCTCCTCCCTACCCCTCATTCACCACCTCTGACTGCTTTTACTCTTAATACTTCAGTCAGTTCCAGATACAGCCTGGGAGGCCAATTTCAAAGTGAACTCCAGGAGGAGAGAGAATTCGAAGGTTCTGCTAATTTAAATTGAAGAGTATATGTGTGAATAAAGCTAAATTTGTCAATTTGAATGCACCTTCCAGTGACTCTGGTTTCAGTGTACTATCTAAATTAACTGCAGTCAAGATTCAGCTAAATGAACATGAGGAGGAGGAAATCCCCTGGTATTTGTACAGGAAAGAATCCAAAAAATTAAAAAGAAATATTGAAGTGGATTTTCAAATGTAGCCAGCTCACCTCTCTTATAACCATGTCTCCTGAGGCCTCCATCGAGTCTTTCAGAAAATCATTGGTAAAGGAATACTGCCATCTTTGAAAAGTACCACAGTGGTCACTCCCTGTGACCAGGGATGCTGTGAAAGACATTGCAGTTAAAAAGAGCTCCCTGATTTAAATGAGGATGATGGGAGCCTGGATTAGCAGAGGACAAATAGTGGTCCTTAACCTTCAGTGCCAAGGAGAGCGTGGAGACAGTCATAAACAGTGGGGCCCAAGTAGACTTTAGAGTGATGTGAACCACAGGGAATTTGCTGATCACTGAACATCCAAGTAGGGTCCAATTGGATCTGTAGGATGACAAAATTTCTATGTCTGGTATTAAAAAAAAAAAAAAAAAAAGCCTGACTAAAACTCCCTATGAAAATTCTCTAATCAGAACCTGTCTCTACAAACAACCAGAGAAATTTGAGTAAAGGCAAGATGGGTCCACCTAAGGAGTGAGAACATTGGCCGCAGCAGTGAAAAACTGGCAAGGTCCAGTTCTTAATAAAAAAAGTAGCAGTAGAAGAGATTGTAGTGTGTCGTGTTCAGTGGTAGCTGCTGCTTCTTATCAAAAAACTTCCCAACCCACGGGTCACAGCGCTTTGGTGAGCCGCAAATGGAAAACAAGTAGCCTGGCTACAAGACTGATGGCTCTACATGTGTATTGATAAAATTTTAAGCATTTTTACAGCCATTAAAAATTGATAATTTAAAAAAATATGTAGGCATAAATATAACAAAATATATACAAGATATATCTGAGAGAAACTACAAAACTCTGATGAAAGAAGTCTAAGACCTAAATGAATGGAGAGATCCATGTTTGTGAATAGAATGATTCAACATTAGTAAGTTGTCAGTTCTCAACTTGATCTACAGATTCGATGTGATCCAAAGCATAATCCCAGCAAGTTATTTTGTGAATATTGACAAACTTTTCCTAGTTTGTATGCCAAAGCAAAAGGCCCAAAATAGCCAACACAATACTAAAGAAAAACAACTCAGAGGACTAACACTACTTGATTTTGAGACTTAATATGAAGCTACAGTGATCAAGACAGTATGGTACTGAAAATAGAAAACTATATCAATGAAAAAGAATAGAAAGCCCAGAAATAGATCCACTTAAATAGAGTCAACTGATCTTTGACAATGAAGCAAAGTCAATCTATTGAAGAAATTCAACTATTCTTTTTTGTGCTGGAACAACTAGATATCCACATGCAAAAAAAAAAAAAATGAATCTAGACACAGACCTTACACTATTCATAAAAAGTAACTCAAAATGGATTATAAACCTGAATGTAAAATGCAAAACTATAAAACTTCTAGAAGGTAACACAGGAAAAAAATCTAGGTTTGCTGATGACTTTTTATTTTTATTTATTTATTTTTTAGATGAGACAACCCTTGGTTGACCTCACAAATTGCAAGGATCTTGTCAGTTTACAATCCCTTAATTTTTTATTTTTTATGCCCATACACCTAGTCTTCCTAGGTGGTCTCCCATCCAAGAACTAACCAGGACTGACCCTGCTTAGCTTCCAAGATCAGACGGGATCAGGCTTGTTCAGGTTGGTATGGCTGTAAACTGCTGATGACATTTTAGATAGAACACCAAAACCACAATAAATTGGACTTCAAATTAAGTTTCTGCTCTGAAACTTAATGCAAAACACATATTAGACAAAGGACCTGTATCCAAAATATACAAATAACTTTTAAAACTCAAAATAACAAAACAAATTTCACCAAAGGAGATATACAGATGGCAAATAAGCATATGAAAAGATTCTCAACTTGGATTTCATTAGAGAATTTCAGAATTAACTATATTGAGATACTACTCCGCACCTGTTAGATAGCTAAAATCCAAAACACACACAACACCAAATGCTGGTGACAATGTGGAGCAACAG